TCTCTTGACCCAGATGACTTGGTCAATTATAGACCTATATCCAATCTTCCTTTCTTATCTAAAATTCTTGAAGAAGTAGTTGCCAAATAAGTGTGCGATCACTTACACCATAATGAACTTTTTGAAGAGTTTCAGTCTGGCTTTAGAGCTCATCATAGCACTGAAACAGCTCTGGTTAAAGTCACTAATGATATTCTTATGGCCTCAGATAATGGACTAGTATCTGATCAATTTCAGTTTGTTCATGTTAATGACCAATCTTCCTTATGCTCAAGGTTTACCTGTGGAGTACCACAGGGATCAGTGTTAAGACCAATTATTTTTACTATATATATGCTCCCAAACGGTACAATTATTAGCCCTCATATTTCATGTTAAGTTTTAAACATAAATAAGCAATTTTTTTTTTTGAAATGCTAAATCATATTTAGACTCTACAAGCATTAGCTTAAGTCAGGCTTCAACGAGGCAATGTAATTTAACAGATAATTTAGGTGAGTCGTTAAAGTGTCCAAAACTAAAGTTTAAAAACTCTAATCTTTTAAGAAAGCAGACAAAAAAACAGCTATAGTGTACAAGACAATGCATATTGCAATAGCAAAACACAGCAAGGTCTGGATTCAACTTTGTACATTTCTAAAAAACTGCTATATGGAGTGAATTTTGTCACATTTTTGTTGAAGTAAAGAATGCATTTGGTAAATGGAAAAAAAAACGAATAAAAATTTTGTATATAGAAATGTGACATTTGAAAGGAAACATTGAAATGTTTAAATCAAAATATAGGTTTTCAGTTTAAATTAGGAGTTTTCTCAGATTTTATTTACTTGATTTTTTTTGCTAATTCTATTGTTAAAACATCTCTTTAACAGATTTTATAACAGATAATTATAATTTTTTTTGTTGATTTATTGTCTGACAGACCCAACACTTAATTTTTTTTTCTTCATATTTCTGTTTTTCAGATTGAGTTTTACAACTTTCATTTTCTTCATTGCATTTCACAGATCACACTCTCTGCATATAAAACCCAAATGAAATTATAAAATAAATGTGTCTTCGCTCCTCACTCCAGAGGAAAGCCGCCACAGAAGTAAACAGAATGTGATTTGGGAAAAGCAGTTTGAACAGAAATCAATTTGTAAATTTTTATCTGAAAAACAGAAAGTTGAAAAAAAATTAACATATTTGAAAAAGCTTTTTTAAAGCTTGAAAAACAAGCTTTAAAAAAGCAAAGTTTTTCTCAAACCTTTTTTTTTACTATTAAATCTTTTCATTTCTGGATTGCACTTTTTTTTTCTAATTTCAATTTAGAAAACTGTATTCTTCCCTTGCAACAATAACGGAACGAAATTCACTCCATGATACAGTAGCTTTTAATGTAGGCCAATGCTGATATAAACCTGTTGCGATCAGAAATCATTATGTTTATTATGTATTTAGTGGTTTGGAATGATAGCAAATGCTGGATAAAGTTAACAACATGTATGAGAATAACTGGCCATTATTAACCATCAGGTTACAAATAGGGCTGGTGTCCCTGAAGCTGAAGTCTCTTTCCATCTGAGCAGCTTATTACTGCCACCTATAGGTCTGGAGTGAGAAGGTCAGTGTTTTAAATCTCTTTAAATATAATCTGATCAAAACTGAGTGCCTCTTCAATTTGAAGACTGTATTCTGTTAAATTGTGATTCTATTCAAAATTCAATTAATTATCCATCAGTCATTTTTAGAAGAAATACATGTTAAAGGTTAATAGTGAGGTCAATTGCCTTTAACTAAAAGATAAAAATAATAGTTCACAGGTGCGGTTCTTACCGGCAGACAGTAACATCTCCATGATCAGAGCTATGTGGCGCTGTGCCGGGTCTAAAATTGGAAACGTTGAAAAAGGAGAGCGTGTGGTCGATGAATCCGTGCATGGTGCCTGACGGGCTGTACATGTACTGGTAGACGAGCCGAGGAATGAAGTCGGATGTGAAGGAGATCACAAAGGCCTACAGAAAAAAAGAAAAAACACACGACAGAATGAGACCAGAACAGGATTCTGACAATTCCAACAATGTGGATAAAGCCACCGACAGCTAAGTATAATAAATTGTACAAATCTTCATTGAACATGTCCCATATAACAGTCAGAAGCATATGTCTTGGTTATGTTTTATTTGTCATATGTTCAAAAATGTGGGTAAATGGCAAAAGAGCAAATATCTACAAATTAGTTTAATTTCAACAACAAAAATGCTATTAGAATAAATAATAAAGTGGGATATCATTACACGACTAATCATTATTTTGTTCAAAAAGTTTTCGAAACACTTGAAAAATATAGACATTGTGTCTGTAGTAATATTAGAAATAAGGTACAAAACACTGAATAAAAGTTTTCCTTCAGGAGTTCAGAATTATTTTACAGGAATCTGTGATTAGTCGTAACAAACATCTTTAGCTGAGGAAAGATTTATTTTTTTCATGTAAATGTAACAAAGTAACAATGCTGTAAGCTGTTTAGTTTGAATAAATTTCAATAAAATGTTGTGAAACGGTTGTTGCATTGCATGTATTCAGGGTAAATGGCGCATGCTAGCTCCTGAAGTAAAGTTGATAAAGTTTATAGTTAGAGTGGCTCAGGTTATCCTGAGCTATCTCTATAGTTATGCTGCTATAGGCTTAGTCTGCTGGAGGACATAAGGACCCCTTTTTCATTATTCTGCTTCATTCTATCTCTATTCTCCCACTGCAGAATTTCTTAGTTCAGTTCCTAACGTTATGCTCTCTCTGCTTTTTCTCATAGTAGCCTCATCTCTTCCTGTTTGGCTGTGACTCCATCTTGGAGAAAAATATCAGCTGTGCTGCTGCCATCAACACCTTTGTTTATAGATGTTGGAGCTTGGCCTGTTTTTCAGTGTAGTCCTGTTTCTCTGACTGTGACTGACTGGATGTAATGTCTTCATTTTCTGACATAGAAACTGGCTCGGAGCTTGTCTGCCTGGCTGTGTGTTTCCTGGACGGGGCCGTCTGTGGACCTAGCTTATAGTTGACTTTTGTATCTCTGCCTCTGTCTCCTTGAACCCCAGTCGGCCTCAGCAGATGGTCGCTCACACTGAGCCTGGTTCTGCTGGAGGTTACTTCCTGTTAAAAGGGATTTTTCCCATTCATTCCAATGAGTCAAAGCAATCAACTCGTTTTCCTTAGATAGAAAATTTTGAATCTATTGCTGAGTTCGAATTCATTGGATGCATCCTCCGAAGGCCAGATTCATAGTCCGATTACGTCATAGTACAGTGCAGAGGTCTGTTCGTTATGCGCTGGACAAATGCATCCTTGTTTTTGCCCGTTTTGGTGTATCCTACGTAGCCTTGGATATCCAATGATTCATTGCGAGTCCAAGCAAGTAGACTGCTCCCTGATCAGAGGAAAAAGGTATTTGGCTGTGTTTGGCTGATATTTAAGGACAGATTCAAATATATCTGCAGTGTTGGGGAAGAATAACCGTATAAGATGGAGCTGTTGAAGCTCTTCAAAAATGTTATTAACACCAAAACAGCAGTGAGAGGTTTGCTATTCATTCTTTTCCTGCTGTGTGTTTCAACCATCATGGTTGTTAGGCGACAGAGCGTACACCGGTAAAAGCAGCAGAAGGCTGGACCTGTTTGAGTCCACTGCCAAAACTCTGTTTACTCTGTAGGTTCCAGTCCAGTAGGACCTAACTGCGTCATTAACCCAGCATATATTACACAGTTTGTCCTCCATGGGTGAAACAATCTGTGTGTATGTTTGTATTCCTACAGACAAGCTGAGTCTGAGGAAAAGATAGGCACGTAAAAGCCTTAGCTTCATTCCTTTTTAGGTAAATAACTGGTTTGCTTAATAGCATTTCATTTCCTAATGTTTTTTAAGCTGTAAATTTAAAAAATATAACTAAATATAACTTATCTACATTTTCTTGTTTGAACTGGATTGCTTCAATATGAAGCCCTTTTAATGTCTTGACGATGGTCGTGACAGATTGCCTCTGCTTTCTTCTTTTGGCGCCAAAACAGTCCGGTGTAACAGAACTTAATGAAGATCTATGGAGGCGAATTGATTCTTCCATGTTGGGAAGGTCGTCTGGATCCAATCATTCCAAGATAACTAGTTCATTCAATTGTATGATGACAAGCTGACAGCGCTGAACTGAAAAATCCCAGGTTCTTTGTAGATGAAGTTTACTTGCTCTCCCTGTGGATACATTGGCTGTTTTTCATGTCCAATCTTCTCTTCCATCTCTCCATAGAACATAACTTCATTTCCTCTGTTTTTAAACTTGTCAGAAATCTCTTGAGTATTAAAAGTAAACAGAGGGATTTGATTGGCTGCCTTCCTGAAGACGGATCAAAAAGGAAACTTTTCTGAATCCACTGATCCCTATCTGACCTCCCCAAATTTGCATTTCTGAACGGTTTTGTCAGAGCACATCTTAAATGACCAAAACAAGACAAAGGGGGTTTTAACTTGAGGGAACAATGTGGTGATAAGACAGAGCTCCACTTTAAGGTAGAAAAGGTGACTTTAAAACCAGGTAGGGCATCTTTGTCTTTTGTTTTCCTTGAAGCTAAATAATTCAAAATTATTTTTTAATTACTTTAAACTTTCAGCATTAGCCACTCTTAGCTTAACTTGGTCAACCACATGATTAAAGGTTTCAACTTCATTTTAAAATCCCAAATAGACAAATGGAAGGCTAGTGGATTCTGCTTTTTGAAAATGCATGAAAAATGGATCTGAATTTCAACATCTATATTTATCAGAAAGAAAAAGAGCTTTTTAGATGAAGTGTCAACACCATGAGGTGCACAAGCAATAATCTATACATGGATCCATGTTTGAAAACAGCAAGAAGTATGGAGAGAATTATGACCCATTTTACTGGCAAGCAAGAAAGACATTTTTAAATAAAAAAATTAAAACAATCCAATCCAAAATGAAAGATTTTAAGAATAACTTTACTGTTTGTCTTTTATTTATTTTTTTTGTAAAATTATCTTTTTCGTTTTATTTAATTTAATAAAATTTTTCTTTTTTCTTTTTTTTTTTTACAGATTTTGAATTTTCAAATAACAACTTGGCTTAAAAATATATAAGCTGTACAAAAAATGTTTGAAAAAGTAAGATTGGAAAACTACAATGTGAAACAATTTGAAAAAAGAAAAATATCTGAGAAAAGTTTTGCGAAAAACTCAAAAGAAATCTTACACAAAACCTTTTAATAGAAGTTTTTAGATCTGGATCACATTTTCTTTTACAAAACTTGTTCTTTACTTACAACAATAATGGAACAAAATTCACTCCATAACCTCCCAAATTCTTCTTATTCAATCAATTTGAACTGAACATGGAGATCAGATGGCCTGAAGTTCTAGCAAACGAATGTGAGCTGAATGCTAACAACATGAAGCAGATGATAGGAAGGAGATTTTCTGAAGCCAAAAGGTCTTCAACATATTTTAACAGCTGCATCGTGTTCATACTTACATTTATTATGACGGACAGTTTGCCCATTCCACTCAATATGTTGTACCATATGCCTATAAGAGAGAGAAAAGCAGTCAGAGACCATCATCGGTTTCATTTAGGCTCCTTTTAATCAGGTCAAATTATTACAGCAGCATTGATAAAAAGCTGATTTCCAGAGGGTCTTGATTTCTCTGCCTGCAGGCAGACTGTGTGTCCTCAACTTTGAGAGAAATATCCCACATTTTGGGCTTAAGTGGGATTGTGTGAAGTATTAATGAGAAGTAAGTAGGTCAGCTGGTCTCACAGGGGTTTTAATGGACAAGCTGAGGTTTTGTCACAGTTATGTGGAATTGCGGCAAAGCCAAAATGATGATGCAAAAATTCAGAATTTTTTTAAGATTTACTTCGCTCAAACATTTGAGGCTTGAAAGAGCTTCTGTTTGAAGAAGGACCATANCTGACCCAGCCTTAATGTTTGGGTCTTCTAACAGGTTCTCTTCCAAAGTTATCCCATATTTAGCTCCATCCACCAGCGTTATCCACCCTTTCTCTTTTTATCTGGTCTTCAGGATGCTCCAGGTTTGATTTATAAGGAGAAAACTTAACCTGTCATGTGTGTTTTTAGTTTAGTTTTTTTTTTGTTCTTCTCAGTCAGATGTGATCATTTTTCACCAACCTAAAGCTGCGGCTAAAGCATTAGGGAGTGAATTTTAATTTTTTTTAAATGACAATAAAGAAATGCAATCCAGAAATTAGTATTCTTAATTAAGAAAGTTCTTTACATTTTTAAAATATTTTATTATATATTTCATTTTTTTTTTTAATTTTACAGTTTAAAATTGTCTCTTTTTTTTCTTTTAAGTTTTTACAAATTGCATTATTTTCAAATTGTGTTTCAGCGATCACATTTTCTTTACTTCATGCCCAGTACAAACAGAATTTTATTTTTATTTGCTCAGACTGAAACAAAATGCTTACTGCTTTACCCATTAAATGAAAAAAAAAATCAACAGGAAAAGTTAGCATACCTAACCAAGACAGTATTTTTATTGCAATAATCATTTCTAGCCATCTTCTACAGAAGAGGATTAGGGCCACTGAAAAAAAAAATTTAACGGATTTTTAAATTTTATTTCAGTTTAATATGGGAAAAAAGTCAGAATTCTGACTTTTTTCTTCAGAATTTTGACTTTAATCTCAGAATTCTGACTTTTTTCCTCAGAATTTTGACTTTAATCTCAGAAATCTGACTTTAATCTTAGAATTCTGACTTTTATTCCTTCGAATTCTGACTTTTTTCCTCAGAATTCTGACTTTAATCTCAGAATTCTGACTTTAATCTTAGAATTTTGACTTTAATCTTAGAATTCTGACTTTTTTCCTCAAAATTCTGACTTTAATCTCAGAATTCTGACTTAATCTGAAAATTATGACTTTAATCTCAGAATTCTGACTTTTTTCCTCAGAATTTTGACTTTAATCTCAGAAATCTGACTTTAATCTGAGAATTCTGACTTTTTTTCCTCAGAATTCTGACTTTAATCTCAGAATTCTGACTTAATCTCAAAATTCTGACTTTAATCTCAGAATTCTGAATTTTTTCCTCAGAATTTTGACTTTAATCTCAGAAATCTGACTTTAATCC